AGTTGGGGCTGTACACGCCCCGGAGTCTCCGGAGTGCCGCCCCCGGGCCTCGGGGGCTCCCGCCCACGCCCAGTGGCAGCACTTAGCTCCGCGCTGGTGAGAAGACGTCGAAGACTAGATTAGGTGCCGGACGCGGCTTTTCATTTGCTTTCTATAGTTGGCTAGTTCATCTTTGTTTGGGGCTTTGGTTGGAGTTTCTTTTGATGTTGTATGTCGTCCCCAGCCTGTGGTTTCCTGTCTTTGCTGTTCGCATGACTCGTCTTTCCTTTCACAAACCTCACGAGGGGGGGGGGGGCTGCGCGGGCGCCCTCGCGAGTATCTTTTGGCTTAATTTCGTGAGGTTTCCCAACCTAAGTTCATAGCGGGAGCACTCTTCCCGGTCCATGCCCCACGGGCATCGCGACACGAATGCATGACCTGAGTTGGTCGCCCTCACAGCTGAGGGACGGAGTCTGTCCCTCCGGCTAATTTTTTGCAAGCCTCAAGACGCACGACAAGGCCTCTGGCCGGAGCCTCCCGAGGCGAAGGCCGCGACAAATCCCCCCGAGCTAAGTTATTCCAACACATGAACATGCAATACCGTAATGCGGCATGGAAATAATAGAAACGACATGATAATTGAAGGCAACAGTCTAGCATGCCCCCACGGGGCTCCACACTTCTCTCTCTTTATGCAGGAAAGGGAGAAAAAACAAATGAGCACGGCTCGCCCAACAACAGCCTGCAGAAGAGGATTCACATCACCCTCCGGAGCTCAAACGGACCCCTGCTCACGCTTCACCGAGGTGCGACGGCGGGATGATCCGCCACCCCCTCGAAGCGGGCGCAGCAACACGGTGGCTGATCACGGCCGCCGCTGGAGGAGCTGCCGTCAGAAGGGGAGTCACCGAAGCTTGGCGAGCTGCGGGCACCGCCTAGCGCGGGCCCGTCTTCGTCTTCGCCTTGGAGACTTGGAGACTGACGCTGCGCAAATGAGGCGCAACCCCACCACACCGAAGTTGTGACTGGTCAATGACCAAGTTGTCCATCCAAACATATGAGAGGCATTTGAGGAGTTCACATGTAGATGCTCTGACCAACGGGAGCGTGCGGGCTGTTATATCTTTGCCTCATCCTCTTACTAAGGTTGTGTTCGGTAGCCCTCCACTCCTCCACTCGGGAGCGGTGCGGGTGGAGCATCATATTAGCAGCTCCCCAAATTAACATTGCATGTTACTCCCCTCCGGAACGGAGTTGGAGAGCAGGAGGGAGTCCCGACAGGCTCTAATTCTCTTGGCGGTGGCCAAAAGGAACGCATGCTTTGGCTGCGTGCTTTACTTTTGGATATAAGGCAAAGCTGCCCATACATTAGTATAAAAAGATGCATATTACGTATGATACTACTTTTGTAAGTATTATTACATATAGTGAGTAAGGTGTGTTTAGTTAGGAAAATAAGTGAAATGAAATGTCATGCTTCCATTTAATTAGAAGGGGCCGGTTCTATTCCTATGTTTTGGTAAGGATAATTAGATGAAATGTAATGATTTTGTTTAGGTGTTTCGGCACTTTAGAAAATGCCAATTGCGGTACAAGAGTCCAGTCATTCGCTCTTCAACACGCGTTTGTACATTTTCCTTATGCTAGAGCATGTTCAAGACAGACCTCCACGGCATGTTAGGCATGGTGCACCTTATAATATTTTATTGGACTAACCTATTAATGCAGTGACAAGCGATGGTTGTTTTTCCTGCATGTTTGTAGACTTTGCAGAAAAATACCGTTTTCGAAAAAATTATGACCGCGAAATTTTAAATAGGGGGAACCACTA